GTTTTATGACGTAATGTGTAATATACAAAAGAACAAGTTTTCATAAATTGTGTCCTATAAAACAAAGAATGATAATTATTATCTATTGTCCTATTTACTGTCATCCTAATTATAAGATAAATAAAATATCGACGACATTATTTGTAATCATTCAAATTAGAAAAAGTTATAAACTTTGAATAGATGAAAATAAAATATAAAATTATGATGGAAGATTCAAATTTTTAACTGAATTGCAAAACTTGAAAGAGAAAATAGGGGACCATTTTAACTATTCAACTGTTGTTGGGTTGCCATTGCTTTCAATTTTCACTTAATTTAATCATATATATAATATAATCAGCATTATTCGTATAAAAAAATAGTTTAGCAGTACAATTTTGTTCTCCATTAAACAAGATAATCAAATCTCGCTTTCATGCATAAACTAATTCAATTTGGTACACAATAAATCGACTAGAAAAAAATTATACGATGGTACGTAGTTATCCAAAGTAATAGAAACTTGTTAATAAAACTCGTTTGTGTCTGTATTTTATTACGTTATTGTGTTGAGATAAATGATAATTATTATTAATTTTAAAAATACATTTTTTAATTTCTAAGTGTGAGAAACCAAATAAATTAAAGCATTATTAAATAATCAAGTATTACTATTTGAAATATGAGATGAAACAAAGAATACATATAATAATTTTTATCAGCTAAATAAGGTATGTTATGCATATTAGAATGAAAAATATATTTAGCTGCAAATTTTATTTATATTTGTTACAAATTATAAAAATTAAGTGTTTGTCATTTAGCACCAATCCACTAGCCCTTTTCTAATTTCTATTTCTTTCTCAAATTTTGTGTCATTGATCAAATTGTGTTTCTTCTTTTAAAATTGGATCCTACCAGGCAGTGGTTGAGAATGATAGGATCATTTATTAATTTTTAAGTAAAATAAGTTTTTGTTTACTTTGAATATCATTTATCTTTTAATATAGTGTTTAAAGAAAATCACTTAATATTATATATATCAAATGAAACTATTGATAGAGTGAACATTCTCACACGGTTTTAAAATATAATTCAAGTTTTACTTATTGTGTTTTAAGGAGATGGTAGTTTTAAAATTAGAAGGGAAAAAAAGAATGAGATACGTTTGGATCTCTACAATTAAATACAAGGTGGATAGAATTATTATAAGGTATAAAACATGACTAGTAGCTAAAGACTACACTCAATTTTATGATGTAAATTATTAAGAGATGTTTGTACTAGTAACTAAATTCAACATTGTGATAATACTTTTATCACTTGTAACAAATCAAAATTGATCTCTTTTACAATTTGATGTGTTAAATGATTTCTACACGGAGAAATTTTAAAAGAAATTTATATGAATTCCCCACCATATATGTTAGACTCAAAGCAATAATTGTTTGCAAATTAAAAAAAAAACTTTATTTGGATTAAAACAATCCCCAAAAATATGGTTTGGAAGGTTCACTAAATCTATTAAGGATTTTGGCTATAAAGTAAGTATATGTGATCACATATTATTTTTAAGAAAAGAAAAGGTAAAATTACAACTTTAATTATCTATGTAGATGCTATGATAATTATAGAAAATGACTATGATGAGATTTATAGTTTGTAAAAATATCTTGTATATGAATTTGAGATGAAACAACTTGGAAACCTCATATATTTTTTGGGTATTGAAGTTGTTAGATAAAATATAGTATTTTTCTATGCCAGAGAAAGTATATTATTGATTTATTATCCAAAATTGGGTTGCTTGGGTGTAAATTAGTTGACACTCCAATTTAACAAAATCATATACTTTTTCAATGATCAAATTTGGCTAGCATAAATAGAGGGAAATATCTAAGGCCAGCGGGAAAACTAATTTACATGTTCATACATGTCCATATATGTAGTGAATGTTGTTAGTCAATTTATGTCTCATGAATGTTGTTGAGAGAATTTTGTGGTATTTGAAGTCTGCATCGAAAAAGAAATTTTATTTTTAAATCATGGAAACCTAGAGATAGAAGATTATACTAATGTTGACTAGGCAAGTTCAAAAAATGATAGAAGGTTTACCTTTCGATACTTTACATTGGTTGGGGAGAACCTTGTAACTTGGAGAAGTAAAAACCAAGCGATAGTAGCAAGATGAAGTGTCGAAGCAGAGTTTAAATGCATGACACTTGGGATTGTGAACTTTATGGGTACAAACTATTTTATTAGATTTAGGTTTTAAACTGTGGAATATAGTGAAAACTATATATGAGATTGATTTCTTTTGTGTTGAATATACATATAGGGTCCTTTATTTATATTAAAAGAAATATGAACTAAACCTAAAATAAAAATAAAAAATCACAACAAACTAATTAAATATAAAAGATAAAGATAAGATAAAGATAATATATCTAATATTTCCCCTCAAGCTAATGCATACAAATCATATGTACCAAGCTTGTTACTAATATAATCCATAAAGACTTCGTGAAAATATTTGTTTTTGCACTCGAGTGACACCAAGTTGTTAATGATTTGCAAAGACAACATGAAAGAAGAAATACTAACCCAGAAGACTCCCCTTGAACAACAAATCTGAGTGGTTGCTTCATGTAAATCTCTTCTTGCAAATTGTTGTTGAGTAATGCTTTGTGGACATCGAGTAGATAAAGAAATCATTGTTGAAAAGCCACCACGACTATAAATAAACCAGCAAAAAACATCTTTGCCATGGGAGAAAAAACATATATAGAAGGATCAAACACAATGGTGATAGAAAGGAAGTGAAAAGAGACAGTAGTGAAAGGAGTCATGGATAAACAAGAGAGAGAAACCTTAAAAATCCAAGATTCTTTAATCAAGACACCTGAAAAAGGAAAAAAGAGTAATCTCGATGCTTAACAAATAAGATTTAATTGAGTTAAGAAAAATATAAGAATAAAGTGAATTATAAACTTAAGTATAAAATTTAGATTACTAGTTTTATATATATATATATATATATATATATATATATATATATATATATATATATATATATATATATATATATATATATATATCACATGTTTAACTATTCGGGTGTGATTTGCAACCCAAAATATACCAACCAATATACTAGGTTGTTATAGTAAACAATTGTCATATACATATGGATTTGGCAGAAAACACAATATTTTAACTAGTTTGATATTTTGTAAAGCAATTGATGTGTAAAAAATAGGTTTGTATTGGCAAAAATATTGTAAAATTAGTTCGGAAATCAATTTAAGTTACTAAAGGAGTGACTTTAAATGATTAAACTGTTTTGAAGCTCAACTTTATAGATTTTTCCTCTTTTACATCAAATTTACCTCTAAGCATGAAGCTCAGATGATCAAGTCTTGAGAGTTCTCTTTAAATGTAATCTAGATCCATTCTTGGCACCTAGAGCCTAGGCTATTTCCAGCCCGCTTAATTTGAATCATTAGTGATTGTATAACCAACTCACCTGCATTAAGGTTAACACTCTCTTTCCAACTCCACACTCTAGAAATATTCCTAACATCCAAAAGCCCTCAAGATAATTGATTGGACAACAACTTAAGACTAGTTTCCACTTAATCTTAAGTTAGTTGTATAAGATGAGTGATAAGTTCATCAAACAACAAGTATAAGTCAATTCACAAACTTTAGATCAAAAGAAATCATTCGTAAATGGAATATATTACCGAATACAAGATAGTTCAAATCTATTTACACTCTTCTTCAACACAAGGGAGATTAAGCTCCTCGTAGATGATAGAAAGAAATACAAACAATGAAGAGAATACATCTCCTAATCTTCTAAAGATGTTTAATTGATTACATATGATGTGTATGAGAAGACTCTTTAGAGTCTCTCTAAAAGTACTATCAAAAGTGTCTAATACTGAGGTCCTGAAGTGTTTCCAAAAGTCTCCATCTGTCAAAAATGCTGATATTTATAGACCTTGACAGCATGGCTCAAACAATAGTCCATGGCTTTAGTCGTGAGGCTTCCTCCCTTAGTGGGTTCCTCTATGGCTTAAGCAGTGAGATACTAGGCTGGACGTACATGATGTTACTTCATGATGAGGCATTCTCCATGGCTTGAGCTTTAGGCTAAGGCTTGAGGAAACCTTCTTTGTTGGGTTTTTTTCATGGCCCATGCCCTCAAAATGGCGTTACAACTGTGTTGTGACATATTTCATTAAAAGTGTTTAATTTCTTCTTCTTTCCTTCAAAATGCAGCTTTGACTCATTGAATTCTTTTGTTTTAACAAAAAAGTGAAATTAGGGTAGCTAACATGAATTTTATACACAATCAAAGTAAGATAAATGCCGTGTTAATATTGAAATCTACTAATACTAAACACTTATCAATAACCACAAACACCACACACACATGCACACGCACACACTTACACTTGGTCAAATGTACATGTACACACCTACACTTGGTCAAATTGGTATTAAGGTCCTCTTAAAGTTTCACTTGTCAAAATATGGTTTATCTTCTACTTAAACTTCTTTGTTTTTTTTTCCATCAACCTCTCACTAGCTTTCTCTTTCCACCTTCCTCCACTTGCTGTAGTTAAGAAAACAAAATTAAGATTTTAGATTATCACTGGTATAGTAGTTTAGAAAGAAAATGTAGATTTTAAAGTTTACCATATGTTTTGTTATGTTTTTGTGAACAAGGTAAGGAAGAAGGTAGTGCAAAGTTAAGAAGAAAGAAAATAAAAAACAAAAAATAAAACTTAAAGAAATTCTAAATAGAAAATGGAAAAATAAAATTAATTCTATTTAACAAATAAGATTTAATTGAGTTAAGAAAAATATAAGAATAAAGTGAATTATAAACTTAAGTATAAAATTTAGATTACTAGTTTTATATATATATATATATATATATATATATATATATATATATGCATTAATGTATTTAACTTGTATTTTTGGTAAAAAGAAAATAGTAGTTTACAAATAATGGAAGAGAAAAAAAAAGTAATCCAAGGAAAATAAGAATTAGAGTCACAATTAAAAACCTGACAACGGTTAAGAAATTCGATAGTGTTATCTTCGAGTTCATCTTCGACGGATTCTCCCAATAAAGCAATGGAGTGGAAGATCCAGTAGCACAGCCATGGTCGACTGCATAACCACAACGTTTAATCAATCCAAAAACAGTAACAGAAATTGCGATACAAACAACACAAAAAAAAAACATGTGTTACTTTGAGTCCAATACGGAAAACGCGGAACTGAGGTGACGAAGTCCTTTAGAGAGAAACTGCACGTGATTATCGCGTTGCAGCTCCAACCTGAGAAGAGAAGAAGAAAAAACGCAGAGTAAAAGAAATTCAAAACGGAGAATGAAGAGAACAGAAGAGATGTTGCAATGAATGACATACATGAGGGTTTGGGCGTTGGGAGGAATGGTGGCGAAGAGGTGGTAAATCTGAAACACTTGTGATTCTACCATCCATTGGTCCCGCTGCGTCACCGTCGGACACGGTGGCGCCGCCTCTGTCGCCGGCGGATTTGTCTCTTTTTCGCTCACTTCACTCATGGTATCGCCAGAAACTGCGAGAAGTGACTGAAGCAACGTTCATTCATTTTGCTTCTTTCATATTGAGCTTCCTGGCCCGTAACTAGTTACTACGGATCAAAGCCAAAACTAGGCTCGCCTCAAGTAGCTTCTTTTGGTTGGGGCTTTCTTCCTGCACCCATGTTTTCTTTGCGCACCGCAAAATATATAATCCTCCACGCCATCGTATTTACTTTTGGCACGGTTATATTTACTTCTCCTAACTTTTTTTATTTTGAAATCTGGTTCTTTATGTTTTTGAAATCTGGTTCTTTATTTTTTTTATTTTGTTATTTTTTTTATTTTACTTATTTGGTGTATTTTGTTTTATGAATTTATTAATGATCTCTATGTTGATTATTATTACTCAACAAGTGAGATATTATATACTCACGTCATGTTATAGGTGATTATAGAGTTGGTATTTAAGATGGAAGATTATCCTTTAAGTTTTTATAGAATCACAAGTAAATTAGAGTTTCGTCTCATATTTCTCTTTTTTTTTATTAATGAAATGCAAGTAAGAGAGATTATACTAATAACTTCATAATTAATGATATTTTTTTTACACATGATAAGTTAATTAAGTGGGTATGAAGAATTTATTTTCATCTTGGTTTTTGGTTTTGTTGTTGTGATTATAAGATTTGATAAAGCTAATAGTCAACTTGAGAAAAAGACATATATATTATTAGGATATGAAAGAGGTAAAATGTACATGATATACAAATCTGACGTTCAACCTAGTATGTTTTGCATAAGAAAATGTTTTGTCTTTTTTAAATTAAGAAGCAAACCAATTGGTAATGAAAATGGGTGAGTCTTAAAGGTATTGAGAGGATGTCATAATCATGATTTATGAAAGACTTTAGTTAGTCACCTTTATGCTAATAGGTTAAAACCTAATGAACATTTATTGCTTATTGATAATGATTAATAGTCAAGTGAAGCCTACAGACATTCTTCTTACTCTTAAAATAATAATTAGTGTAATGTAACAACAATAAAGCAATTATATAATGCAAGTTACAACTACAAACGATCATGGGAGACTAACTTTATCTCCCGTCGATCTTATACAAAACAATTGTATATAAAATTTAAACAATTCATTAAACATCAAAAGCAATATATATATATATATATATATATATATATATATATATATATATATTCATCTACTTTACTAACACGGTCTT